CGAAAACACTATACAATAATAAAAATACACAAAACACGATAAAATGGACCGGTCGACACTAAAACGAGCCTAAAAACTATAAAATAAAGCACACAAAACACACGAAAATAATCACAAAATCACAATAAACAACCATGTGGAGAAAAGAACGAGAAGAATTCATGCGTGTTGAATGGAAAGTGCAAATATCATTATCCACGTGCATTTTGCGAGAAAACTGTACAAGGAAAGGATGGATGCTCAACTAGACAATCAGTGGGTAGTGCCATACAATCCTTTTATCATATCAAGATATAACTGTCACATAAATGTCGAGGTCTGTTCAGGAATTACAGCTGTGAAGTATCTTTATAAATACATATACAAAGGGCATGACAGAGTAGCAATTAATGTTACCCACAATAATGATAAGCAGTTGGTCGATGAAATCAAGGAGTTTCAAGATGCACGATGGGTATCTGCTCAAGAAGCAGCATGGAGGATATTTGAGTTTAGCATGAATGATATATGCCCGGCAGTTATTAACTTGCCACTTCATCTTCCCGACAAGCACCTTGTGCCTTATCCAGCAAATCAAAATTTGAAAAATGTTTTGAGTTGGGAACACAATTCAAAAACAATGCTTACAGAGTATTTCTCAATGTGCGCCGAAAGTGAAGAAGCAAGAAAATATCTTTACCGTGAATTTCCTGAGCATTATGTTTGGAAAAAGAAAAAATATTGGCGTAAAAGAATTAAAAAAAAAATGTTATTGGCCGCGTGAATAGTGAAAACCCGAATTAAGGGGAGAGATACTACGAGAAGCTACTCTTGAATCACGTTAGGGGACCAACATCTTTCAAGGATTTGGCAACTGTAGATCATGTTCTTTGTCATTCGTTCAAAGAAGCAGCACAAAAAAGGGGATTACTTGAATCTGATAAAAATATTTTCGAATGTTTGAATGAAGCAGTGACTTTTCAAATGCCACGTGAATTGAGAAGGCTATTTGCAACCCTATTGGTTCATTGTGCTCCAACGAATGTGAAAGAGTTGTGGAATACATACTGTCATGCAATGGCTGAAGATTTTAGAAGAGAGACGAATGCATCGGAAGAAGTATATGCTGCGAAGACTTTAAATGGTATAAACTCTTACTTGGAGAGTATAGGAAAGAGTGTATGCGAATACGATCTTCCAAATATACCCATGGATTTGATTAAGATGTATGATGATATTTACAGAGAGGTTAAAGACGAACTTTCGATTGAAGTGCCTCCTGAAAATTATGCAGTTGTAGGAATGTTGAATTACCAACAACATAAAGCATTTTCATTAGTTTTGGATTGTGTAAAAAGCGGAAATGGAGGCATATTTTTCATTGATGGGCCAGGAGGAACAGGAAAAACATTCTTATACCGTGCATTGTTAGCTCATCTTAGATCAAAAAATATGATAGCGCTTGCTACCGCAACCTCCGGAGTTTCTGCTGCCATTATGCCGGGTGGAAGAACAGTACATTCGCGTTTCAAAATACCGATTGATGTAAGTGAAGGAAGTAAAGGCAGTATGTCAAAACAAAGTGGAACTGCCGAGTTGTTACGCAAGGCACGATTAATAATATGGGATGAAGCACCAATGGCTAAACGATGGGCGATAGAGTATGTTCATTCTTTATTGCAAGACGTAATGGGAAATAATCAAGATTTTGGAGGGAAAGTAGTTGTTCTTGGTGGTGATTTTCGGCAAGTTCTGCCAGTGGTCCCAAAGGCTACAATCCAACAAACAATATCTGCAAGTTTGGTAAAGTCCAGATTGTGGCCCAAAATGAAAAAGGTTTCTTTATCCAGAAACATGAGGTCGATGAATGATCCTGCCTTTAGTGAGTTCTTACTTAAAGTTGGGAATGGTGAGGAACCAACTGACACAGAAGGTAATATTGAAGTTCCGGACGAAATGATTGTTCATTATGACAGTGAGGATGATTCATTACAACGACTTATAAACATAATTTTTCCAAATTTGGAACAAAATGCAAAGTCGGCTGAATACATGGCATGTCGTGCAATACTAACCCCTAAAAATGATCATGTGGATAGATTAAATGATAAATTGATATCTATCTTTCCAGGGAAAGAAAGATTATTTGCCAGTTTTGATGAAGCATGTGATGATTCAAACAATCATTACGAAGAAGACTTTTTGAATTCTTTAACTCCCAATGGTTTGCCCCCTCACAAATTTGTCCTAAAAAGAGATTGTCCCATAATTCTTTTGAGAAACTTGGACCCATCCAACGGATTATGCAATGGGACAAGGATGGTCTGTAGAGACTTCAAGAATAATGTCATTGATGCGGAAATCGTATTTGGACAATATGCTGGAAAACATGTCTTCATACCTAGAATACCATTATCACCAGCTGAAAATGAAGGTTATCCATTCATTTTCAAACGCAAACAATTCCCAATTAGACTATAAAGCACAAGGGCAGACCATCCCAAATGTTGGAATCTATTTGCCTCAATCTGTGTTCTCGCACGGCCAATTATATGTTGCACTCTCTAGGGGAACTTCGATGCATAAGACGAAAGTCTTAATAAAACCATCCATTACCAGTTCGCAACAAAATGGAAGAACTAAAAATGTGGTGTACAAACAAGTTTTACGTTCAGGTATAATTGGTTTTCATTTATATTATTATGTTATATCTTTTGAAGATTATTAACAATTTATTATATTATTTTCATACAGGACATGACTATATAGATGGAAGTCTCCCATAGATACAAATTTCACGTCTGGGGGAATATAAGGTAACATAATTTTTATTGTAACATAATATGAGTATTATATATGTAATTGTCCCATGGATTTACCAATTAAATAATGTTTATTTTATAAAGATTTTGGGTGGGATTACATTGGTAAACTGTTTGTAATGTAAATATCATCACTTGTGTATGTTAGTAGTAGTACGAGGATATAGAAATAAGATCAACTAATAAACATATAACAAAAATAAACAATCATTTTGAATAATTTATTTTCATATATGATTTATTTCATTATTGATTGTTGTTTATTTTTTCTCAATCATTGTCTTTTGCAGATATGTGGGGTGAACTAATCTGTTTCTATACTAATATAAAAAAGCTTTTGGAAAAATACTTTAATGAAAATTTTTTATTCTTAATCTTTATTTTGACTTCCTAATTTACGTAATTTTTCAAAAACCACGTGCAATAATATTGTGGAAATCTATTTATATCCATTCATTTAGGAAACATAAAATACATACAAACTTCAATTACAAACCTATCAAGTAACTTTGCATTGGATTAATATGATTTTATTGTTTCTTCTTTTGTTTTTTTTTTTACCTAAGCCATTTGGACTTAGATGTCGAGTTAGCAAACCCAATTTCGAAGTAAAATTAAAATTGTTGAAGCAAATCTCTTATTTTGTACACGTAAATTTCAAATCGAATACAAAATATTGAATCATTGTATAGAATATTATGATATTTAATAAATATATGATAAAATTTATTTATGTCTAATATCAAATCAAATTTTAAAACAAAAATAATATACAAACAATATTCCAAAGCATATATAGATTTTGACTATGTCAGCATTACAAACAATATTCCAAAGCATATATACATTTTGGCTATGTCACTATTCGAAGCGTCTGCCGTTTAAGCTCAACACGTTTTGAAATAATATATAAGGAGGAATCATGCACCTAACTGTTGATAACAATTCCAACCTATTTGCCCTTCACATCCACCCTCCAATTACGGAAATATTATTTGGCCATCTATTAATATTATTTGGCCATCTACCTTTTCCAATCTCACAGGTCAAACTAACATATTTTCAATTTGTTTGCCAACATCTCTAATTTTGGGGAAATGCTACGGTCTTCTCTTACAAATTATTTCGTCAGAGTTTGTCACCGTTAAATCATCATATAATCGTCGGGATAAAAAAATTCCAACGGAATAGTTCTGTAACAATAACGTAAATCATCTCCCCGTAATTTTGTATTTTGATTTAAAATTTTCTAACAAGTAATTAAATTGATTTTTAATAACATATATTAAGAGTTCATTTGTTCTACATTTTATTTTATTTCTGCAATGATGTATTTAATAAATAAATTTATTTATTTGTATATTTATGAAGTTTTTATTTTTAAATATAGATATATTAAATTTCATAGTTTATGGGAGGTTTATTTTTATATTTTTTTTCTGATATTGTTTTTTTATTTATCACACGTTTGTGAGTGAATTATGCTTCATTTTTTTTTTCAAATGTCGTATGTAAAAAAATAAAAAAGCATATTAAACATGTAAAATAACATTTTTCGTTGCAACTTAAAAACATTTTGTTTTGTTGTGAGATAGATTGCAGCATATTTCTGTACCTCCTTTTCAGTATGATGATGATATCGGTGAGTTGTAATTATGTTATAGCTGGAAGCTTTTGTATATTGTCATCATAATTTAATTGTGTTAGAAACCTGAGGAGTTAATTTAATAAATGATCATGTTCATTGCCTCTTTTAATTTAGTACAAATAAATTCTACTACTGAATAAGGTTATCTTCGTGTTGTAATCGAAAGGCGGGCTTTATTAGAGGGGAAACATTTGGATCAATTAAAGCGAGACATACAATAACCGAGAATTTATTTCATCTCCGTCGTCGCTTCACGAAGAAATTAAAGGTAATTTTCTAAATTATCTACAAATAAAAATTCGTATTTTTACATGATTTTAAAATATGTTTAACACTTTATTCGCTATATGTACTTACGGATTAATTATTTATTTAATAAATTATAATTATATTGTATAATTTCCCCTGCAATTTAAATCCGTACATTATAGCGAACCCAACACAAATCTCTTATTTTCAGTATTTAAACTAAATAATACATAAATATCTTACATTATATGAAATATTATTTCAAATACACAAATTATTTTTCAATTGACAATATCATAACTAATTCTTTTAATTTTTTGTTAATCGCTCATGAAACAATTACATGATTACGTCATAAACATAACATTCATATCTTTGGGAAATATAATATAAAATAAATATAAAATAGTATTTTATGATTTTTTTTTACATGTTTAGTGATTTATGATATTTATATTTGTTAATTCTTATATATTCTTTTTAGTTTCAAAATTTTATGATTCCCAATAATAGGTTGTGATGTAATAATATTTTTATTATTATTTTTAAGATTGTTAGAATTTAATATTTATGGTATTAATATTTTATTTAAAAACACTTAAATTAATCCTTATACTATAATATATTGAAGATTGAAATAGTTATATACAATTAAACAATTGTTTCAAACCCATGACGTTTTATAATTTTTTGTTAATTAGCATTTACTAGTACAATACCCGTGTATTACACGGGTGCTTGTTAAAAAATTATTCTTAAATTTTAAAATTAATGAAAAAATTATATTAAATTTAGTTTATTTTTTTTACAAAAAAAAAAATATATTACTATATATTTTAGAATGATATGTGTTAGTTATAACTTACATGTGTTATATTATATTAGTTTTTATAACTTATATCATATAACTACTTGAAATATAATTATATTAGTTGATAAATAATTTTATTTTTCTAATTAATATTAAAAATAACTTTATTATTGTTATAAAGATAAATATAAATTATTTTTTTTATACATACAATATGGATGTTAAATCGAAGCTTATCAAAAGAAGATTAATTTGATATATTACATATGTAAAACTGATAAAAAATACAAAAGTTATTAACTTTTAAAATATATATACAATTCAATAGTTATAATAAGGAATGATATTAAAATACAATTAATACATGTAACATGACCATAAATAATCAACATATTTATGGTAATCCGAACCTAATTATTTTTGGTTTGGAATTAAATTAAAATTTACCCAAGCTTAATAAAGAAGTATGTAATTTTGCCACATAGGATTCCGAAGCACCAGAAGTAGCCACGTAGGCTCAGCGCATTCTGTATTAATATATAGGGGGATTTTCTATGTTTAGTCTACAATTAATATACATAAAATAGCAAAGATTTCAAACAAAAAATTATGTTGCAAAATATAATCGCTATTTCGATGTCAAATAAATTAAGGAATTATGAATTACCCTCATGGGGTATGAACTTTCATTTATCTACATTTTTTCTTCATATCTTTTGTAATTATTCTATTTTATTTATAGTATATCTTAAAAGTAAAAATTTCTTGGAAAACATTTTTAAATTATTAAACTATTTTAGGTCACCAAAAAAACTTAATATTAAAGGTTACAATATGTGTTAGTTAGTAATATAGAAAAATCAAAACAATCACTGAATATCCAAAATAGTTATATATTTTACGTTTCGTTAATATATAACGTTTAATATATATTAACATTGCATATGTATAAATAAAATTAAAATTGAAAGATAATGTAAATTATATTAAATTAAAGTATTAAAACATAAAAAATTTAATATAAATTAGAATACAAAAAATTTAAATTATTTAAAATAAAACAAAATAAAAAAATAATTTAAACAACTTATTATATTAAACAAAAGAAAATAATTAAAATAAAATATAAATAAATCTAAAAAATTACAGTTAAAATAATAATATTTATTGTATTTATTTTAAATACTTTCATATACATTTATATTTATTATTTATTTTAATTTGTATTACTCCATATTGTTTTGTTGCATTATTCTTTTTATTTCATAGTTAACAACTATATTTATTTTGTTTAACTTAAGACAATGAAATAAAATTAAAATAAATTTTACTAATTAAAATATAAAAATTAAAATTATTTATTTATAATTAAAATCATGTACTAAAAAATGCAAGATTTCAGCCCCATCACGGCAACCTTCGACCCCGGGGTCGGTATGCCGTCGTTCAACACGGATGTCGAATTTCCACCGCTACAAACGAACAATGTACCAGCACCCAAGAGAGTGCGTACCCGGAAAAGGCTGGGTGAGGTTCTAGAGCATCAGAGCCCTACAAACCCACAAGGTGCGCAACCAGAGGTCCCCCTAGCAACGGCGAACCCCCCGATTCGTTGGACATTCCGTGACATGGTGAATAAACACAGAGCCCACGTGGATATGGAACCCGAGAAAGATAAAGAGAATACTGAGGGAGATAAGGAGCTCTCAGTTGACTTTTTGAACCCGGAGCCCGAGATGACTATTACTCAAAGCTTCATTGACCGTATCACTGAAGAATGGAAGAACGTGGTGGTGATTAAGCCTTTCGATGAGTCCATCACCATGGCATCGTTGTACAATCGTTGACCAAACTGTGGTCGTATATGGCAGGGTGTAATATGATGGATTTAGATAACGGTTTCTACCTCATTCATTTCCAATTCCAAGAGGATGCGGTGAAAGCCCTCACTGGTGGACCGTATGTTATAGGGAATGGGTACATGCATGTTCAACCGTGGAATATTAAGTTCGATGCCACAATAGCTGAAGTTACATCCACTGTAGCATGGATCCGTCTACCGGGCATGCCCGCCCATCTATACCACAAGGAGGTCTTCCGCACAATTGGGCGAATTGTGGGAAAGGTTGTTAAAATAGACCAGCAAACGGCAGCACGTACCCGCGGCAAATATGCACGGCTTGCAGTAGAAGCTTGGTCAGGAGGCTCTGGAGGTCATGGGCCCAGCCCTCCTGCCGGAGGAGGTCCACAAGTTTGTTGATGGCTTGTTCTTTGATGCGCAGGGCCTCGGGGGAGGATGATGGGTCCTCGAGCACCCCGTATAGGATTGATATGGCCTCGGAAGGAGTTTTGGCCTCCGAAGCTCCAAAGAGGGAGTCGGTGGTGGCGGGGGCGTGCGATGCAGACATTCTCTAGAACTTTCTTTCTCTTTTCCTTTTTCAAGATTCGGAGTTCTGTAGATTTATGAATCACATTTAGAAAAGAAAAAAGATAATGTAAAAAACACAAAACATATGAAAAGCATAAATCTGCGATTTCTACTCGGCAAGACCGTATGTATGGTAAACTACCATCTCCAATAGACTCTTATAAGCATTTGAATTGAACAAGAAATCAGAAATCACAGAAGACCTCAAAGTGTGTGCTCAGATCTTTTCCATTTTCTTCACTAATTGGTTTGACACTACGAAATTCAAGGAAGCTTCAGTACAAACGCGTAACAGCACCACGAGCTAGATGATGGATTATTTACTACTTCAAAAAAATTTGAACAACAAATACTACACATCAAGAGCTCATGAGAGATGGATAGCTAAATGCAGAAGTTAATGTCTATCAGTATATGTAATATTCCTCATTTTGTCCATGGCATTGGCTCGTTCGTCTTTTGTTTCGAGGCCCCATTTTTAATTTACTATTTTCACAAGAAAATGTCAACTTTAAACAACAACAAATATCACCGAACAAAACAGGTAAAGCAGCATTATTGCTGCTCACTGCCTTGGTCCCAACTGGAAAATGACGTCTCACTCACCAATAATCAATCATTCACATTTCATTTGAAGCCTTCTTCATCTTCTCCACAAGACTTTGAGAATTTTTCTTTCCTGCTTTCACTCCTCTTCATAAAATTTCCAAACTAAAGCTAATATTGGATTTCATTTCACCAAACAGGGGATCATCCATGGCAGCTTATGGAGCTCTTCTTTCTCTTACAAACACCATACACCAAATCCAAAATCACCCTCGCCCACCCATCTCCCTCGACAAACTATAGATCGAACCTCTAATACAAAAAGTTGCTTTCTTGATGCAGTTTCTTGAAAACTATATCATTGATGATGGATTATTTACTACTTCAAAAAAATTTGAAAAACAAACACTACAAACCAAGTGATAACAGATCAGTTCAAAGTTTCATAACTGACTTTCTCGACAACGATTTCACATCAGAATCTACATACGAAGGAAAATCAATCCCGTACCGAAGTAAGAAGGAAGAACAAATGAAACAAAGCGCAGAATTTGAGTAAACTTACCGATAAATCACGCAAGAGTTGATCCACAACGAAGAGACGACGAAGCTTTTTTAGGGATTTACTGAAACGATCCCCAAATTATAAAACCTTTTCTTGGAGAGGGCGACACCCATTTTGGGCCTTGTGAACGAAATGTTGGGTCGTTCTTGAAAAGCCCATATCTATATTATTGCAAAATCTATTGTGACTTATATGTTTGATTGCTTTTTAAATAGTAACTATTTTTTTAAAAAAAATTTATTTACTATTTTAGAAAATTAATTTAATAATTTATGGTATATTTTCAATAATCACTTATGAAAATTGCAGTTCATTATTTAAGAAAATAATTAATCCATAAAAAAAATATATTTTTAAGATACCGTAATTACTCAAATCATCTAAATTCGGTTGATTTGCCCAAACATGGAAATATCGGCTGTAATATTAATTATGTGATTTGTTAAAAAATTACCAACTAAATTGTGTAATTTATTATTAAATAAGTGTTTTATATTTTTCGATTAGACAAAATACTATCACATATATATTTTCCTAAATGCAATAGATCAATTGTTTATCTAATTGCGGCGGATCAGGTTTATTAAAAAAAATCGAATTGCATAGAAATCGGGCCCAATTTTAAATTAAAATTTAAAAATCCATCATTTGGCTACTACTTTCTTTAGTTCGATTTTTTTTAAACATAAAACAGAGTCAGATAATATTTATTTGAAATTTAAAATGAAATCGAATTAGAACATCCTAAAAATATGGATTTTGTTTAATTCTCTAAAATACAAATTTAAAATTGATTGCATACATTTACACGATTTTTCCCTTCCTTAAATTAAGTAATTTACAATTTTAAAATAATAAGGCTATAGATTATCAAAAAAGACGTTTAAATATTCGTTATATTGTGCTATGCAATCATCATAAAACCAATATAAATAGTACCATATATATCCTGCTAAATAATTTAATTGATTTATTTAAGCCTATCTAGAATCCTAATATAATTTGTGAATGTACCAAAAGACCAAACAAATAATGTTGTGTAGTATATAATTTATATAGGGTTTATTGCACCAAACCCCCCTGTATTATACTAAATCTGCGCGTTTTCCCCATGTATTTTAAAAATTGCGTCATACCCCCTTGTATTTAAGGTTTGCATGCACACTCTCCCTTTTTACTGTTTTCCTGTTAACGGCGTTAATATTTTTGTAAAATTCCAGTTATGCCCTCTGAATATTATATATATATTTTCTAATAAATTGTGAATTTATCATGATATATTCAATATATCGCGAGAAATTAAAGATATCGCGAGAATTTGAATAAATCGCGAGAAATTGAATAAAAAATGATGTTGCCTCTACGATTCGAACCTAGGACCTCCTTGAGGGAGGAGCATGCATACAACCACTGTACCACTCATGCTTATGTGTTAGATGTGTTAACGTTTAATATATATTAACATTGCATATGGATAAATAAAATTAAAATTGAAAGATAATGTAAATTATATTAAATTAAATTATTAAAACATAAAAAACTTAAGATAAATTAGAATACAAAAAATTTAAATTATTTAAAATAAAACAAAGTAAAAAAATAATTTAAACAACTTATTATATTAAACAAAAGAATATAATTAAAATAAAATATAAATAAATCTAAAAAATTACAGTTAAAATAATAATATTTATTGTATTTGTTTCAAATACTTTCATATACATTTATATTTATTATTTATTTTAATTTGTATTACTCCATATTGTTTTGTTGCATTATTCTTTTAATTTCATAGTTAACAACTATATTTATTTTGTTTAACTTAAGACAATGAAATAAAATTAAAATAAATTTTACTAATTAAAATAAAAAAAAATTAAAATTATTTATTTATAATTAAAATCATGTACTAAAAAAATGCAAGATTTCAGCCCCATCACGGCAACCTTCGACCCCGGGGTCGGTATGCCGTCGTTCAACACGGATGTCGAATTTCCACCGCTGCAAACGAACAATGTACCAGCACCCAAGAGAGTGCGTACCCGGAAAAGGCTGGGTGAGGTTCTAGAGCATCAGAGCCCTACAAACCCACAAGGTGCGCAACCAGAGGTCCCCCCGTAGCAACAGCGAACCCCCCAATTTGTTGGACATTCCGTGACATGGTGAATAAACACAGAGCCCACGTGGATATGGAACCCGAGAAAGAGAAAGAGAATACTGAGGGAGATAAGGAGCTCTCAGTTGACTTTTCGAACCCGGAGCCCGAGATGACTATTGTTCAAAGCTTCATTGACCGTATCACTGAAGAATGGAAGGATTTCATTTTTATCATACTTTACCCCCCCTCTTTTTCTTTGTTTTTGTTTTCTTGCAGAATATTGGGTACCCCTATACTCTGCTGGACAGACTAGTTTGACCCCGTACTCGAGGGATTGACAAATTTTGTTGGCAATTTTATCGAGCTTGGCGTGATTGTTCGAGAATGGCAGCCAATTATCACGACTTTTATACCCACCGGGCACCTTACCAGTATGAGAGGGAGATTGAGGCGTAAGAGGACCTAGTGGTTGGCGAATGAACGAGCAAGACTACTTCTATACCGATGAGTATGGATACCGCTTGGGAGAGCTCTCGAACTCTTTCCATGGGTACTCCGAGCCACAAATTGCACGAGATCTCAGCCCATCGCTCGAGGAGATGATAGAGGCATTCAGGTTGAACACGTTGAAATTTCGGCAAGAGCACTGGGAGCCCATTGTTGAGAGAGTTCCTGGTCCGTCGCTCAAGGATATGATGATGGAGTTGACGGCTCATACTGTTGTAAATATTTTTAACCGGAGTAGAACCCAAGGATTCGACACCGGGTCGTGTCACAAGGAAGGTTAGCCGGATTATTTTGCACGGTTATTCAACACACGAAAATAAGAAACAAGTCCTAAACATTCTAATTCAAATTTGGGGGTTTTGATTATCAACTACGAATAATAAGAACAAGCTAACAATCTCAAACTTGCAATTTAAAGTTTAAACTCAAATAATGACAAAGGGGCTAGGGTATCGGGGATATCGTTTCCGGTTCTCAAAACAATTTACGAACAATCAACTACTCAACCAAAGGACTCAAGAATTAACTCATCTAGAGGTTCAATCTCAATATCTCACGAAACAAGAGAATAAACATAAACGAACAATCATCAAGTCAATTAGCACATAGGCAATACGTCTCCGAACAAGCCTACTCTAAACGAGCCGAGGTCGATCGATTTCTCCCCTTTCAGTTCTAAAATCGATTAAATGAATTAGGATGGTGATCAATAATCTAACCCTAGGTTAAGCACAACTCGAAAAGATTGAGCAATTAATCATACACATAAACGAAATTGAACCGGATCGATTATCCCCTAACCCTAGCTATTGGATTAGCTAATCATCACAATATCAACACAAGCATTCACCATAAAAGAAGCCATCACATTCATGTATAAGATGAAAAGAAAAGCTTACGATTAATACCAAATCCAAAGTCGATGAAACAACGAGCAAACCGAATCCAAAGCTAGAAAATGAGTTTTTATCCTTCAAAATCCAATCCAAGATGAAAGATTCAAGGAAACATATGTTTGTGGTGAAAAACTATCAAAAACGAGGTCTGAGAATCGGTCGAGGATTTGATCAATGAACGGCAACGGAAAATGGTCTTTCTTGGTCACGGCATTGAGCCGCCGGTAGTCAATACACATCCTCCATCCGGTAGTGATGCGGGTGGGGACCATCTCCTTCTTCTCATTTTCGATCACCGTGATGCCCCCCTTCTTTGGCACCACATGGATGGGGCTGACCCACTCGCTGTCGGCCACTGGATAAATGAGCCCCTCG